ATTTATTGCTAATTAATCATTCATATTTAAAAATTTCTCCAAATAGGAGTCAATATTCCCCCCTAATTAAACAGGAGTAAGTAACCATCACTCTGAAATCATTAGTTTTTTCAAGCATACAAGTAATTATTCATTAGTTTACAACAAATGCGTGGCTCATAATTACAAACAAATGATCGAGAAATTGAATACACTTAAATTTTTATAAACTTCTAAAAGTTCAATGTAATACGCTTACACTTTTAGAGCCCGTTTGGTAGCACCAAAATCGGCTGTTTTGGCTGATTCTGCTGAAATTTATGATATTCTGGCTGGAGTGGCTGTTTTGGCTGATTCTGTTGATTTAAGAAAAAAATATTTTAAAAATATATTTTATTAATAAATTAAAGAAAAAATTATATGTAAAAATAGCTAAAATGGTCCTCCACAGTAACTTCAGCCAATACAGCCAGAAAAGTAACTCCAACCTTACTTTTTCGGCTTATTACACAATTCAGCGCGCGAAAGTAAAAGTTACGTGTTTGGTGAAAAAGCTGGCTGATAAGCCTGATAAGCCGAAAACAGAGTTCTCCAAACGGGCTCTTAAAATCAATGTGGTTTTAAGATTTGCCATAGATTCCTTATAAAATGCACTCCTTTTACAATGTTTTCATTTGGATTTAAATACACCATATTAGACAAGTTCAAGTCAGCTTAGAAAATAGTAAAGTATACGTAAAATAAACTTTACGATTTTAAACCAAACCCCAATCGGGCTTAGTGTCTGTTTGGTAAATTAAAATTGACTGAATTACTTGAATATATTAAAATTGATAAAATCATGACTGAAGAAGCTGAATCACCTTGATTGCGAAAAAACACATTTACAACATATTTTATTAACAAGTAAAGAAAATATTATATGAAAAAAATAGTTAAAATAATTTTCTTCAACCATTTCATGAGCTAAATCAAGTCTATAAAGTAATTTCATATTTTAACTATTACACGGTCCTATCCAAAAAATCAATCGTTGCATGTTTGATTAAAAAATTAATTAATAAGACAGATAAATCAAAACATAGAAATTATCACAAAGGTTTTTAAGAGAAATAACAGAAGAAGCCATTCTTACTATTGCTGCCGGGAGAATCGCGGAACCGGGCTCTTTTGAGGGTGTTTATAATTTATTATTGGTGATTTCGAACCCCAATTGATAGAGGCCAGAAGGTCCCATTCCAGAAATTATATTCCAATGACAACCTTTTAGATGAAAGTCCGAAAGTGAAAGCTAATAAAAAGGGAGGTGAGCATGGGGATTTGATAGAGAGGGTACATTGGCCCTTCAATGAATAGTACCTTGGATGGGACCAATACATGCATAAATCATTCACCATCAATTTCACTTCACCATAATTTTGTGTGGGACTCATAATACTTCGTATCACATTTCCTCTCACCTCACAAGTGTATGTCACACAAGTCAGAGGAGCTAACCTACCTTCATATATGCTCTAACCCCACATTAATCAAAGCCTTGCAAATATCCAACCAAATAAAGAAAAGGAAAAGGAAAAAGAAAGTTTCAAGAAGCTACCATCAATGACTGATAGTTTTGCTATGGCAACGGGCTGTCGAGATAATATCATTTTTGTTAACATTTGGTGATTAAGATTTGAGAACTAGTCATAATTTCTTAAAGATTCACATCAAACTCTTAAGAGAAAACAACCCATTAGTTTTTCAATGTCCATCTATTTACCATCCGCTCAAAAGAAAAACATTTTTAACCGATTGATTTAGTATGTACCCATAAACTATCTCTCGCGTTGCTGATTAAGTCGAGACGAAACACTAATTGTGAATCATTCAAGCTAGTGAAGTTTGTTTTCTCGCACTTATAATAAGTATAAATAGTATTCCCTCCGTCCCCTTTTAAATGTCCCGTTTTACCATATTGGGATGTCCCTATTTAATTGCCTCATACCTTATTTGGTAAACTTTGTGTGGCTCAAAATCATTCTTACTTTATTCTTACTTTATCAATTAGTATGAACCACACAAACTCAATTTTCTTAAAACTCGTGCCACCATCTCCCGTCCCATTTAAAAGGGGACGGAGGGAGTATATGGTTAAATAGGAATATTATCGCATGTACTTCTTGTTGATTCAAATTCAAGATAAATTAATGTGAGACGCATTATACAGTTCATTACAGCAGTGCAGAGTTTTACTATTAAGGGGCCGGTGGATAGTCATGATAGGTTGCACCACTAGTGGGTTGGACAGTTAGCCCTCAGTCAATGTTGTTCTCCCGATTCAAACGGTGATTTTGACCTTTCATAAGGCCAAGCTCTCTTCTATAAGTTTCAGATTATATTAGGATTATTAGCATCTTGAATAAGTATAGGAAAGTTTGTAATAATTGAGATTGCTCATGTGCGTTTTCCTTAAAGCTAAGGTTTCATTATAAATTGTTGACTTGATAGGAGTAATAAAAATCTTAGATATACTTTCTCATTGTAAAACAATATCTTCAACAACATGTACTGCATTTGTTCAAAACAAAAAGGTTGGTTTATGCATGAGATCAAGGATGGTTTGTGGTAACCCGTTTTTTAAGCTCATCATCCATATCATATCAATCAATTTTTATCAAAGTACCAGACACTAATCTTGTCATTTCGAATTATGTAATAATCAAATTAATAAAGTTAAAGTTATACCAGACAGCTAAAGTTACTTTTCTAGCTAATTAATCTAGCTGGTCAAATCTGAGGGTGGACTTCAAGTATATATATAAAAAACTCCCAAATTTTTGCTTTATATGCAGGATTATCGACCATTCTGATAAGTTTTATCCAGTTGTGTAGATAACAGATAAAACTTATGGTCCGAAAAAGGAACAAATGCTTTATATGGGAGTAACTAATGTATGTGTCGCAGGGAATTGGAACCACAAATATTTAAATTATTTAAAGATCACTAATGCGAATGAGCGAACCTATGACTCCGTGTAAGTGTGTAACCACAATTATTTCATTTTGTCCAGTATAATATGTTGACGTCAAGTTGTGACATTTTGAAATCACTCAAAATTCAGGCTGCACAAACAGTGCGTCTGATTAGATATTGCTCCAAGAACTCTAAACACTGCTACGGAATATATTATATAAGGATGTTTTCTTTTGAACTGAAATTTGGTGGTCTGGTAAACGTTTGGTCTCTGTGTATTTTATAACTACGGAAGTCAAGTCTGGTCTGGTCTGATTTGATCTGGACTGGTCTAGTCTGGTCTGATATGGTCTGGTCAGGGAGTGAAAACAGTCCAAAAGAAACCACACTTAAATAGTCGTATTCACAACACAAACTACATAAGCGCATGTCATTATGCATAGTAAATACCATCGTATATAGATAAAATGCCACGTTGTTAAACCATATGGGGTAAACCAGACCACACGAACGAGTTCAGAGGTATATTTGACTTCTTAGACTGCCGTATCAAATGCATGGTTGCAGGCCCGGTCCTGACATTTTATGGGCCCGGGACAATACAAAAAGACTGGGCCTCAGGAATAGCGCGAGAATGTTTATAATGTTCTTTTTACTATAAAAATCTACTAGTATAATTTAAAATTATACAATATTACCGTCAAAATACTAGTATAACACATAAAAAAAACCAACAAAGCATGTGGTTAGAAAATATATATAGAGGGTATTGAATCTATTGATAAGTGACATTCGATGATACAATGTACCTAACAGCCGAGTGAAACAAGTATTGCAACTATATATTAGACACAATAGTAATTTTGAATTAAAGAAAGTTGTGAAAGTTATATCTTGTATAATATAAGGAGTAACTATTTCATATTTTAAATCACATTTTCATTAGACAAAAACAAATTCTAAGTTTCTAAGTTATGGACACTAAAGTTCAATCTTTCACGAAAGAGAGCATTGGAGGAAATTTGTGAAATACATCAATGAATTCTGGATATACATAAGACATGTACACTAAGTCACTAAAAGATTAAAATTAATGTAATAATCCGTAATGATTCAAAAGAAATGGTGAAATATGTTCCTAACGAATTCTAATGTAAATGTTTCTAAATTATACACTTGTATCGTGTAGATGGTAAATAACAAATTAGAAGTATCTAAAAATATAAGTTTGATTTCATTTTTTATTTTTTATGAATTTAGGATGTATATATAATTAAAATATTTATGTACACACATATATGTTTGAGAAATTTATGGGCCCTACTGGAGGAAAGGGCCCTGGGCGCATGCCCCTCCTGCCCATGCCCCAGGACCGGCCCTGCATGGTTGACCATGATCGACTCATTCATGTGAAATTTGAATTTTTGTCGAGTTCAAAGTTTAAATTGAAACTTTTTTAAATTGAACAATTAATTCAGACGAATGCAAAGGCCTATTTGACCTTCGTCAAACGATAATATGATCGCAACATGTAATTCATGAAAAGAGACACGCACATAAATGAACTAAAAGTAAACAAATTCATGTTTTTCATAAATGAAGTATGAAAAACATTATCTGCTTTTTTTGAGAAGTTATTGTCGAGCATATTCAATTCATGGGCACAGAAAACTTAAAGTAAAAAATTGAATATAGATTACTTTGACTAATTCTACTACTATAGTAACTACACTTAATATGCCACACTTATATAATATAAACAACTTTTATTTTAGTCTTAACTTTTTATTTTATAAAAATGTGATATATATTTTGTTTATTAAGATAAATATAATGATAGAGAATTGCTTGGACTGTCAATAATGAAGGCCCTGATCTTGATGAATGATGATAGGAATTAGGAATGATTAGAAGCTAAGTGATCTTGTCCAAGAACTACTACGATTGGAATCGAACTTGTACACCCTATATGACGATAGTAAAAAAAAACTTTTCTTTGAATGGATAAATTCAACCTAGCTAGTTACTTTATTTAGCTTAATCCTAATGTTAAATAGTGCTACAATTAGCAAAGTCAAAACACAATTCCTCATCAAGACCATAATTAAAGTATCACGAGGTTACAATCATACGTATACATCCATCTCCATCACTAATCCAAATACCCAAACACTAACAAAAAGGAAAATTTTTCATCACAAATCACAATAATTATACAGCTGTAACTCATTAAGTTGAAATTAGCATGTGTCCTAATTGACCACACTAATTTAATATTTCTTGTTGCTTTTTCTTTCCTTGCTGTCAACTATATCTGATTTAATTAATTAAATCAAACTCAACTTCCCTTCTGTAAAAAATTAAATTCTACATCATATTCCAAACATTCCATGCCATAATATTTCTATATACTTTATTGCTCTTTCAGGAAAGATAGTTGAATCTTTGCTGGAGGAGCCACATATCTTCGACGCTCCATAGGTTGTCGGACACATCCCCACCGTTTATCCATTGGTTGGTGTTTTGTTCCATGGTTTGTTCCAACTCGGGACCATGGTTAAAGTAACCGGCGGTCGGGCTGGTTAAGGTTTGACCGCCATAAACAAATTCATGACCGTGGTTAGGAATGGGCATATTATTGTAATAGCCGTCGGAAACCGGCGAGAATTGCGTGCCGAAGGAATCGGAGGTGGTGCTCGAGTTCTCCGCCACCGTGAAATTCATGCAGTCGTTGTAGTCCGCCACGTCGGACATGTGGCTCGACGTGGTGGAGATGTCCATGCTTTGGACGTGATCGTGGATTTGGTCGTAGGTGGCCGGAATGACATTGTCCGTGGTGGTGGAAGAGGACGTGGCGGTAGTGGCGGCGGCGGCCTGAATTCTCTCCATCAGCCTAGGCATCCATAGGTAGCGCATGGTGTCCTTGAATTGCTTGCTGTTCACGTCACATTTTAGCTGCTTGGCGTGCTTTTGCACTCTAGTCCTCCAATAATTCTTTATCTCATTATCGGTCCTCCCGGGCAAATGTTGTGCAATTTTCGACCACCTAATTATTATCAAATTAAACATTACTCAATTCTAACCCAAATTGGACAATATCTGATAATTTGATAATTACTCCGAATAAAATAATAAAACACTATATATTTGTGCCGTAACATTTTAATTGGGCTCGGAGTTTTAATAAAATTTGTTTGAAAAAACTCACCTATTGCCCCAACGAGAATGAAGTTCGAGAATGAGGACTTGTTCTTCGAGGGTGATGTTTCCACGACGGACGTCAGGCCGGAGATAATTGAGCCATCGTAACCTGCAACTTTTTCCGGTGCGTTTCAGGCCTGTTTGGATAAATAACAATTAGAATTCAATTAAATTAAAGGTCGATCGATTAGCATATCCATGCACAAGGCAAATTCTATAATGACTTGGCTATTTAGTCACATTAAAATATTACAATTACACCATTTAAATATTAATAAGTTATGAGAATAATGATATAATTACTTGAACTAATCAAATATTACTTTTGTCCCAAAACTACTTCCCAGTTAGATTTGACACGTCATTAAGAAAGTGAGAGTAAAATGAAAAATGTAGAAGAATTTTTTGAGACGAAAAGAGTATACTCCGTATTTTAATACATGACACAACCCACATTATATTCACCCATATATACCAAACATATAAACACAATTGGTTGAAACTTGAAAGTTGAAACTCTAAAAAATAAAGTCAAGTGGCAAAGTGCGAAATGCTCCAAAAGTACCAAATTTCACTTTACCACTTTCTTAGTTCTTTTCTATGTTGGGGTCGAAATTGTGTCATTTTATTTAAATTTGGACCCCTTCCCATAACTTACTTTATGGGATAATTAAGTTTCATTCCTTCACATAGATTTCCACGTACGGAAAGGAACCCAAACCATATCACATGATAGATTCGAATATGATTGGTCCACGAAGTACTTTTTAATTAATAAAACAATGAATATGTATGTACCCCTTCTATAAAGTTATAAACTACGTAGCAATTAATTATCAGCTAAGAATACTACTAATTTAAGGCAACGTAGGAAAAGTTGAAACGCACCGGCGGAGCGAGCGAGGGAGTTCCACCGGCCCTCGCCGTGGTGGGCGACGTAGTTGATGAGGGCAAAGTCTTCCTCGACGGTCCAAGGGCCTCGCCGGAGGTCGGCGTCGTCATCGGAGCCGGGAAGACCACCGCCGTTCTTGACGAGATCCATATATATACTGATTATGATTAGTATAATAGATTATATATTTATATATAGCTAATAGAGTGATGATATGACTAAGGGGGGTAATAATATATTGATTGGTTGACGATGGAAGTTTAGAGATCGAGAGAGAATTGGAGCTGGATTGGAAGAGCACGAGAGGATAGAGAAGGTGGTGGGGCTATATATAGAGAGATAATAGAAAGAGGAGAGGGGTTTGAAAATTTGTGAAAAAGGTCGTACGAAGCCGCAAAGGGATGTGATATTTAAGAGTCATGCTAGTTTGTACACAAAATTTATGCACATTTTGTACAACTTTGATATAAGTACCTCATTTTGTACCCCATTTTGTACCTCACCCTATTTTTGTGGCTCACAAAAGTCCAACACATTAAATGAATTGCTCCATTTTAATGAAGTGCATTTGTGAGCCACAAACATAGGGGTGGGTACAAAATGGGGTACAAAATATGGTAGCAATAGCATTTTTGCATTTTGTATAGGCATGTCTGGTTATTTGTGTGCACGGACAATTTTTGAATGAGTTGGTTATGTACGTAGGGTAGCTTCTGAACGAGCTTCATATGTACACAAGCAATTAAAGAGTGTACATGAAATGTGTATACATTTTGTGTACTAGTTTGTTGTTTTTTCGATATTTTATAATCTCTCTTTATCAATATAAGTGTCACGGTTGACTTTTCACAGAGTTTATATGTTCATTATACACTTTTTTAAAAACTTTGAGGTTTTTGGTATTGTACCAATACTATTTACTTTATTACAATTTATTATAGCGACATTTTGGGTGGATCTATTTTTAAAAGTGGAATTGAGACATTTATTTTGATGGAGTTCAAAAATAAGAGAGACATTTAATTAAAATTAAAAGTATTATTGTTATGAAGTAAACAACTAAACATACCATCTTAAAAATTAGTGGTTTTAGAATAGGTGGACACATGTAATAGAAAATTGTAAGAAGACTTTTCCACTTTTACAAGAGTTTAACATTATCGGTTTTCCTTTAAACGTTTTTATGTTTAGGTCAAATTTCATAAATGACTCGGTTCATACTTAAAATGACTCGCAAAGTATTAAAATGAAAAATGTAACTATATACGTAGTAGATCTTTGCTAGATATTAATCATATTATGTCCCGTGCGGACGTTATACTCAAGGCTAGGGGTGGGATTTTGGAACCGGGAACCGTAGAACCGATTGGAACCGAACCGTTAACAACATCTAGGAACCGAACCGTTAACAATTAATGCCTCATTTGTAGGAACCGAACCGAAACGGGTTATAACGGTTCAGTTCCCGGTTCCTATAAAAAATATGTGCATGGAACCGTTAAGGAACCGTTATTAAAAAATAAAAAATAATATTATTATTATTAGTAGTAGTAGTAGTAACAATAATAATAAAAATAATAATAATAATAATATAATAGCAATAATAACCACCACCACAATAACAATAATAAAACAATATAAGATATTTGACTAACAATTCTAATTTAATCAACGGAAAAGAAGTAATAAATATTGTACATGAGGTTGATATAATACATTAAAGTCCTTTCTACAAATCAAGTTTTGTTCCATCACACAAATTTTATAAATATAAAATAACCCAAATAACTTGTGGTTGATTGCACATATTTTACTTTACTATTTTCATGATATTTCTAATTATTAGATTTATTATGAATCAATAGAATGTAATAATGTTTTTTTTTACATCTATACATGCAAACTCAATGTCTTTTTTTATGTTTCGAAAGACTTGAAGTAGCCGTCCTATTCTTGCTACTATGATGACGAGTAACCTTCATCGCTCTGACACTACAACGATTTTTAATGTTTGATTTATTACATGAAGATTTAAATCACTTTTGTTCTATTAAGTGTTCAAAGTTCATTAGTTAAGTTTGAGCTTTGATGTTTGAAGTGATTAGAGCTTCAAATAAAATTTTAATACTCGTGTTTTGAATTTTCGACGTGTTTAAAATTATGTGTTAATTCTTCGACGAGAAAAAATTATTCTAGGAACCGCTAAAAGGAAGAACCGAACCGTTTACTACTGGTTCGGTTCCATAATGGTTCTTGATTTTTTATATAGGAACCGAACCGATTTCATTAGTTAAAATTTTTATAACGGTTCCACTCATTTTGAGTAAGAACCGAACCGATCCCAGCCCTACTCAAGGCCCCATGAAGATCTAGTGAGGCTTTTAATTGAATTAATTTAAATAGATCAGATTCAGATAGATCACATTAGACAATATCACAAATTAAAAAATTACACAAATATTACTATTTTAAATCTAATTAACAAAAATATGACTTTTTGCTCTAACTTAATCCCATGATGATATGCATACATGTTCCACATTAATAGTTAGTTTCTTGTAACTCTCGTGACCTTTGGTAATATTTATGTAGAAATCTCCTCGGATCTCTCCTCAAAATTCCCAATCAATGAATCACATGTGAAATAATGGGAAAGAGGTTACCCAATAGGGTACCTGGCAGATATATTTATACTAATAAAAGTTTCCAAAGATACAAAGAATTCCTAATTTAATATTAGGCTATTACACCCCCTCAAACTGTGCGGGAGATACAACGCGCAGGTTGTCTTTTAAAAAATGAAATTGCTGACTAGAGAGACTTTTAGTAAATATATCTGCTAACTGAAGACTGGTAGGAACATATTTAACAACAAGATCACCATGAGCCACACGTTCACGAACAAAGTGATAATCTATCTGGATATGCTTACTCCGAGCATGCTGAACAGGATTGGCTGTCAAGTAGGAAGCAGAGATGTTGTCACAAAACAAACGTACCGGTGCTGTGACTGGAAAACCAAGCTCGAATAGAATGGACCGAATGTGTATTGTGTCCTGCACCGTGTAGGCGATGGCTCGATACTCTGCTTTTGTAGAGGATTTGGAAACAGTGGGTTGCTTCTTTGACTTCCAAGATACAAGATTTGGCCCAAGAAATACTGCGTAGCCGGTGGTGGACCGAGAGGTATCGGGACATCCTGCCCAATCTGCATCTGAATATGCCACAATGCAGGTTGCCTTAGGTGTAGGCTGAAGCCATAGACCATGATCAATGGTACCCTGCAAATATCTAAAAATCCTCTTGACAGCAAAAAGGTGAGTGGTACGTGGAGCATGCATAAATTGAGAAACTAAATGCACAGCATAAGTAATATCAGGTCTTGTCAAAGTTAAATACTGTAACGCTCCTACCATACTGCGATACTCAGTCGCATCTGTAAGAAGCTCACCATCAATGAGGGATAAAGTAGTGCGAGATGCAAGGGGAGTGCGAACAGGCTTGACAGTGTGTAAGTGAAAACGGGACAAAAGATCAGAGACATATTTATGCTGAGAGAGGAACAGACCTTTATGAGTACGGATGGCCTGAATGCCAAGAAAATAATTCAGATCACCCAAATCTTTCATGGCAAAATGGTGAGCAATAAGATGAATGAACTGAGTGACAGCAGTCGAGGAATTTCCAGCTATAATAATGTCATCCACATATAATAAGAGATAAATAATCGAAGTGCCCTGGCGGTAAATGAATAGAGAGTTATCCGACTTACTACATAAAAAATTATGAGAAAGCAGGAAACTACTGAACCGATGAAACCATGCACGCGGGGCCTGCTTAAGACCATAAATAGCCTTCCGCAAACGACACAAATGATGAGGATACTGAGGATGAATGAAACACTGTGGCTGACGCATATACACCTCTTCAGTAAGATGACCATGAAGAAAAGCATTTTTAACATCAAGTTGACGCATAACCCACCCAAAGGAAATAGCTAAAGTGAGAACAGTTCGAACAGTGGTGGGTTTAATAACAGGACTAAAAGTTTCAGAAAAATCTACACCAGCCTGCTGATTAAAACCCTGAGCAACTAATCGTGCCTTGTGGCGCTCAATAGACCCATCAGAAAGAAATTTTGTCTTATAAATCCACTTAGATCCAACAATATTTTTAGAGTTATCAAATGGTACCAAATCCCAAGTGTGGTTTGCAATAAGTGCATTAAATTCCTCAGCCATAGCCTTACGCCATATCAATTGTTTATTTGCCTCAGAAAAACAAGTGGGATCTGCTGAAATAACAACCGTGTTTAAATTAAAAATGGACTTGGGTTTAAAAATTCCTGATTTGGCCCGAGTTTGCATCGGATGGACATTAGCAGGAGAGGAGGGCAGCGGTTCGGTCAGATTGCCTGGGCTGGTCACGGTTGTGGTGGGTGGTGTAGGGGGCTGGCTGTCCGGAGAAGAGGAGTTGGGTTCGGAGGAGTGGTTGGTCGCGGACAGTGGGCTGGTTGTAGCTGAGGAGTGTGGTGGCTGAGTGTTGTCCGGTGAGGTAGTCTGGTTTGGGGTAGAGAATAGGAACGGGCTGTTAGGAAGGATGGGGCTGGGTGGGCTGGTTGGATAAGTGGGGTTTAGTGGTTTGGTTGTTTGGCTGGATTGTGATGCCTGCTCAATGGGGATAGTTGGGTGGGTAGAAGTTACGGATACAGAAGGCCGAGGGTGAGATTTTGGGGTAGGAGGGGAGCTGGTCCAGGAAGAAAAATGCAGTGAAGGTGGGTTACATGGAGTAGTGGAAGAGGAGGACATAGTATCCGTAGAGGAAGTCAAAGTGGTGTATGGAAAAATATTTTCACAAAAACGCACATGACGACTAATGTAAACTTTGCCAGTTTTAGGGTCAAGACACCGATATCCTTTATAACCAGATGCATAGCCCAGAAAAACACATTGAATAGATCGGGGAGAAAGTTTATTTGCGGAAGTGGCAGAAATATTTGGGAAGCACGCACAACCAAAGACACGTAAAAGAGAATAATCTGGAGATTTTTGAAAAAGTTTTTCATAAGGGGAGAGACAAGACAGCGTTGGAGTGGGTAATCGGTTAATAATATATACAGCTGTAAACAGCGCATCGACCCAAAAGTGACTAGGAAGAGATGCCTCAATAAGCATGGTCCTAGTAAGTTCAAGTAGATGTCGATGTTTACGCTCAGCAAGCCCATTTTGTTGAGGAGTGTGAGGGCATGATTTTTGAAAATAAATTCCCTGAGTATCGAAAAAATGCTGC